AATTTTGGCAATATAGATGATGCTAATCATGGTGGGAATTTTAAGCCATTTTGGTGGTTAGTTTTGTGCAGTTAAAAAGAGTAGCTAGAGCTAGCTAGGTGGACCAAACTCCCCAGTTGCATCTAGTAAACTTGGCCCCTCCAAATGTACTACTCTCTTCAGAAATATTCAGTGCATTGATCAGTGATCACTACCCTCTTCAATTATGTACTGATCAATGTGGTTCACTCTCCCTCTCCCATTTGAGCCTTTGTCCTTTGACAGTGATTATTCGATGATCCATTTTAGCCATATATAGCAATTTGTGTGGCTCAAAAATATACACTAGCTGGTTCATATATATGTACATTGCATGCAGTACTTCTTCCATAAGGGCTTATGTCTTTCAGACTTTGTGCCAGAAGGGTCCATTAATTTTTACCTTCTCCAGTGTTTACAATAGCAATTAATGAAGTTATTTATTTTTGCAACCCTTATTGAATACATCAATGTAGCCACTCACAATATTTAGCTGTTATTGCCTGAAAAGATCCCTTTTCATTCTGGCATGTAAGGTAGAACCAATCTCTCAGTTATATATATATATATATATATATATATATATATATTGTGATGATTCTATCGATATTGATAACTCTCTTTCTCTCGAAATAATTTTCTTATTTGTTGTCCTATATTTCGCGATGGAGAGGGAATACAAAGCAACGCATACAAGGGGATGGATCAGATAATGCATATCTTCTAGAGATCTCTCTTTTTGGTTTCTGTCCCTTCCACTTTCGGTGTTGGTTCTTTGTGTATTTCGCGAAGATATACAAACATTTGTTGGCTACATTGTTGAACTATTCATCAAAGAAAATTTATAAAAATATGGGGAACTAAGGAAACATTCTATATAAATTAGGAGTCAAGAACATAATCATCGGCAAATTAATTACACTTCTGAGGAAATTTGAGTTATTGTTGTTGTCTTTAATTTAGATAGGACAGTCATGATACTCCACGATGATTGTATTTTGTACATTTTTACATTTTCTTCTCTTCATAGTTTGGCGTTGCTGTGTATGCTAGCTATCATAATATTTATTGAGATCCACATGTGGTCGTGTCGGATTGTCCATTATTTGTTTCCCTCCTCTGATGATGAACTTCTATTTTCACATTTCGTTGTTGAAGTGGAAAGAATGTCTTGTTTGAAATATGAACATTCCTTTTCTTCAAATAATATATATAGTGTTTACCGTCACTAATATTATTTAATCTCCCTGACTACATTTTCTTCATTAGTTTTGTGGCTTCTCGTCTTGGAAACTTGTTCATTTATTTTTTAACTTTAAGTATCATTCAACTCCCGTCAGTTTAATTAGGCATGCAATTTACCATCTTCCTTGTATTATGTCGTTCAAAATTCCATCAATTATACTGATGGCCAGCTTTCTTACTGATTTTAAAAGCTTTGCTAATCTTTTCCTGTCTTATTTTTGTAGTTTTAAATAGTGCTTTTAAATACAGCTCGAAGGAGTATCATCAATTAATAAAACATGGGTTTCCTCATTTCTTTAGTTAATTTATGTATTATGAATCTGTTGATTTTTCAGAACAATGCTTTCTTGTGTGTGTACATGACAATATTGTCATTGAGATTTTAAAATTTGACCTAGTTCTCTCTATTAAAAATTATGACACCTGTAAAGGGGAAGTTTGATCTTCAATGAAAGCTTTCGTGATTGCTGGTGTTATCCGCCTAAAGATGCCACATTGTTTATCATGAAGATGACATTTTCCATATTAATTTGTTAAATTCTTTTTTCTTTTTTTTTTCCAATGTGTCTTTGTCTTTGCAGGTATAAATTTTAATCTTTGATCTCATTACATTTGTTGTTATCATGGCTAGTTGCAAATGGAACCACTATACGAGTTAATACAGGATTTATAACAAGGAATTAAAAAATTTGAAGAAAAAAAAAATGAGATCGGGACTGCAATCACGAATTTGGGGTCATAGTTGAACAAGAAGAATTTTTATTTATTAAAAAGGAAAAGACATGATTCATTTCTTTGTCTTTCTTCCTCTTTCTTTTCTTTTTGAAAAATGATACAATCATTCATCCCAAAAAGAAGGTTAAAATTAAGCAACTTTTAGTCCAGTCAATAAACTTGATTAATTGATCTACATGTGCTTCGTTTAGGAGATTCCTTGAAAAGTAGGATGATCATAAGAGATTTGGAAATCATTAGTTTGACCTCAATGTTTAATTAAGTTCTTGCAAACTTTTTTGAAAACTTTTATTACCTGTAATTATTAACATCTTGCAATGTGCATAAGAACCAATTCGACCATTTAACTTGAAGGGAAGTTAAAAATAAAAAAAAAAGAAAAGAGTCAATATTTATATTGTAAATTTTAAATTAAGAGAAAGGTGTGTAAAGCCATGAACGTTGAACTATTTGTTAAACCAAAAAAAAAAAAAAAACGTTTGTTGAAAGAAATTAAGAACTAAACTAAAGCAAAAAATTATCAACAGCATGATTTACCTAACAATATTCTAACAGCAGCAAAACGTGGACGGTCTGAAACGCAGAAAGTACATGTTTAAAGGAATCATAAAGTACCGCAACTTAATTGTAAATATATTTAGGTCGAAAGAGAGTTTTGGCCGTTCATGAAGACAAATTTATCCTTACTAATTCAGGATAAATTTTCGTCTCTAAGGAAATCACATTAACAAATGGAGTTTTTTGGCACTCCAAACTCGAAATTTTGAAATTGTTTATATTATTCGTAGTAAGTTATCCTCTCGTAGAAACCCTAATTCACCATAGACATTTTTTCTTTGAATATAGTGCATCACGTACAATTTGTGCTTTATTATAGTAAATATATCGGATTCGTAGATTGAGGTGCAGATGCTCAAAGACCAGGGTACGGAAAGATTTCTGTATATGAATCGACCAAAAGGCGTTACCGAGAGACAATTATCATTGTTTTGTTTCTAATACTACTTTACAAACATGATAGAAAGATTACGCTTTCTACTTAATATAAATTTCAAAATTTAATATCGATTTTTTTTTTTTGGACACAAGAGATGATGAATATTGATATGCACAATCTCTTCTACTCTCTTGGTCTTATTTTGATATTTACGTTATTGAATTATTTACTTGAAGAAATTAACTTGAGAATCTAAATGACACTGAGGAAGTGAGCAATCCATTATTTCTGTTTTTACCATTTTGAATCGATCCACAAAGTTGGGAGGAATCATAGATGGAATGTATAAAGTAAAAGGTCAATTTTTTTTTTTAGTCGACAAAGGTACTGGTCCTCCAAGTCCAACACCATATATAATGGTGGTCCTCTCTCTAAAGATGGTGCTTATATGTATAATTATGGCAATTGGCCGGTAAAAAGGACCACTTGAATTTAGGTCATCTTCAATACATCTTTCAACAGTGCATACTATTTATATAAAGATCAAATTTAGCAATAAAATCTAGTAGCACTCACTAAACGTAAACTTCAAATTGAATAATCATTTGTGATGAAAAAGTAGAACTATGTATCAAAAAATAGTTTATATTGTCTTTTGAAGTTCATATTATTTTTCATATTTTTTGGTTAATTTTTTAGTGCAAATTTTAAAACTGGTCAATATAAACTAATTTTGTGATTAAGGGAATAATAAGCAAAGAAAAAAAAAAAGGAAGATATTGAACATAGAGCATCTTCTCCACATCTAGGTACAATATTTATGCTAATACCTAAAAGTTACTCCCTCGATTCCAAAATATATATCCTTGGATAAGTTTCACAAAATTTAAGGAGACAATAAATATTTGGTTAAAAGATTAAATTACCTTCATTTAATCTCAACACAATTCTATTTCTAATATCATTTAATTTTAAATACATTTCTACTTTAAATACAATTACAATTTCCCATATAGGGGCAATGTTGAAAGAAATTGACAAAATATGCTTCGATATGCAAAAATGACATCTATTTTTAAAAAACTTGGTACTCTTCTAACGATATATATTTTGAAATGGAGAGAGTATTTTTTTTTTTTTTGAGTCAATTGCATTAACACAGCTTTAAAAAGAACAACCCACACGCCCGGCCACAAACTCCAAAAATATTCAACAAATTAATGCCCATTATGTAATGAGGTAGAATTTTCATTATAGTAATGCGAATGAGTGCCTTGATCAAGGATTAGTTTGGATTTAATATGTATCGATTCGTATTATAAATCAAATGGTTCGTGCGTATGAAAAAGAAGAATCGATTCCTTTTTCTTTTCTTATAACGTATACCAAGTAAATAGTAAATACACACCTCACTGGCTCACTCAAACAAATTGTCATTCTGTCACCTGACAAATGTCCTACTATTAACCATTTTAAAAAAATAATTGTGGTTAAATTATGTGTTGAATTAGAACTATTCGTTTGTAATTTATACGAATAGAAAAAATCTTACTACTTCTGTCCAAAAAATAATTCACATTAACTTTTGAGATTTGCCCTGTTTTTAGTATAAATTTAAAAACTCAACTTAGATTATTTTTTAGGACAGAGGAAATAATTTTTTTTTTAGCATATCTGAAAATTATTAAATAAAAATTTCAATAAATTAAATATATCTTCTTTCTTTGGGCGGTGAAACTTAGAATATTTTTTATTTTTTATTTTTTATATACTGGGGGAAAACCAAATCAATTTTAATCGCCATCCATCTTTTTTTGCAGTTTTACTGATCCCGAGTTAACAAACTATACTTGAAGAGTGAAAGCCCATTTATAAACAAACCCAAAGAAACAAAATTGGACAACCCAATCTGTCATAGACAAGCATGTTAAGCCTATGGGCTACTTTATGAAAGGCCTATAATATGTGCAAAATATGAGAAAATGGGCATTTGGCCCTAAAATCACAAGCAGCATATGTATATTTTTGCTCCTGCATCCAAACAGGGGGAGGGGAGGGAGGAGGAATGTCACTCCCAAAACTCCTCCAAAACCTCAGAACTGTAAAAAGATGCTCCTTTCCAAACCCTTTGTCCATAAACCCCAAAACCAAAATTGCAGAAACCATCATTTCCACCATTTTGATCTCTTCTTCATCGGATGTCCAAACCCCGGCATTCATCAGCAGCACCACAACCCTCCTCTCCAAGCTTACCCCCAATTTAGTCCACCTCATTCTCACTGACCCTCGTATTGCATCCCCCAAATGTCTCGATTTCTTGTATTTCCTCATAAAGCACCAATCTTTACTGTCTTTCCAGCTAAATTTTCAGACCCATTTGACCCTTTTGAGCAGGCTTGTGAAATCAAGAAAATATGATGATGCTGAGAATCTTTTGGGGGTGCTTTTGGTCCATGACAGTGTAAGGTGTCCGTTTTCAGTCATTTGTTTATTCTTTCATGATGATTATGCTAAACCTTATGTTCGTGCCAAAGTTTTTAACTTGATGATTAAAGTGTTTTCGGATATTGGGGAGTTTGATAGAGCTTTGGAGATTTTTGATTATATGAATAGCAACGGTATCGAGATTAATGAGAGAACTTGCACCATTTGCTTGGTGGAACTTATGAAATGCGATCGATTTGATTTAGGAATTGAGTTTTTCTATCGAATTGTCGATTCCAGTGTTAAGGTTTCAGTGTTTTCATTGACTGTGGTGGTTGATGGTTTGTGTAAGATGGGTTGGATTAAAAGGGCTAGAGAATTAGTGGAGGAAATGGCTGGGTTTGGAGTCAGGCCTAATATTATTACATGTAACACTTTGGTGGATGCTTGTACCAAGAGGTGGAACTTCGATGAATTGGATAAGACCTTGGTGTTAATGAGAAGAGAAGGTGTTGACTTCAGTGTTGAGACCTATAAATTTTTGATAGATGGATTTTCAAGTTCAGGAAGAATTGAAGATTCTGAGAAAATGATTGCTGAGATGCTTGATAAGGGATTCAAAGTGGACGCCTACACATGCAATTTGATTATGAATGGCTATTGTCGATTAGGTAATGTCGAACAGGCCTTTGCATTCTTCTGTATTATGAAGAATAGAGGTATTTGTCCAAATTCTGATTCGTATGGAATTTTGATGAGTGGCTTGAGCAAGTTTGGGAAAATGGATGCTGTGAAACAACTCGTTGCTGAAATGCAGAGTGCTGAATGTGAAATTGACGTTGGCTCGTCTGATATTTTGATTAATGCATACTGCAAGCAAGGAAAGGTAGTTGAAGCTTTTGCTTTCCTAAATCTAATGGAGAAGAAAGGTGTCGAAACTGATTTTTCTGTATATGAGATGGTGCTGAGTGGCCTTTGTAAGTCAGGTCAAACTGAAGAATCAAAGTTACTATTTAGCAAATTGGTAAAAAGAGGATTGGCATCGCAGTTGTCAAGATCCATTTCATTGGCTGAGACGCTGTCATCACGAAATCTTGATCCTCATGTTGAAATTTCAACAGATAAAGATACAGAAACCAAACCTAGTACTGATTTATACACTGATCTCATAAACATCTTACGATATGGGAAATAAACAAAGGTCATAAATTGAGAAGCCTTCCACTATTCTGGTCATAAGTAATTCTGGAGGCATACATACTACCTTGCTGTGGTTTCTGTCACAGAATAAATGACCAGCACGATGCAAAGATCTCCCGCGCGTGAGGGCTCTGGGGAAGGATCGGGTTCAGAAGCTTACTTTAAGTTTCTTCAAGAGGCTGTTTCCGCTGCTCATCAGATCACGCGGTGGTGGCTGTTGTGCTGCACTGTTGATCTACTTCTTAATGAGGTAGAAAAATTGCTGTACCCCTCATTGCTGCCTAATGAAGTGGAACAGCAGCTAGTGTCTGCGTCTTAATAGTACCCCTTTGAAAAGAAAATACACGTGAATGAGGCGTGTGGATCTCCAGTTCAGCATGGACTAATTGGATGATCTTCATTGGTTTATCTTCTTTTCGCTGTTTAGATGCAGAAAAGAAGTGATCAAAATAATGTGAAGAGCACAAACTTTATACTATTGCGATGGCTGTTGAATAAGGGCTGTCCTGCTGGTGGCATGTGGACTCATTCCTCAGGAGTTAGAATATGCTTTCTACAATACATCAGAGAGAAGGGCAAAACTTGGAAGGTATGTATTTGCTGAGTGATCTTCCTTGATGAACGCGAGGTTTGCTGTAATATTATTGGATGCTTTCATCTTGAAATTGGATTTCCTTCAAATGCCATCATGAACACCAAGTACTTCACCCTCTTTGATAGCAATAATGCATGAATACTGGCTAACCCATTGTTATTTTCCTGCAAACTATGTGCTCCGTGTGGCCTCTTTTCTATGATGTAAATATTCCTTCCTAGAAGAGCTGAACTAAGAATAGTAGTCGTTCACGTTTGGGATTCATTATAATGGGAGAATAGTGTCTTTGCTTTCTTTTTCCATACAAGTGATAGAGCGGTTTTATGATGTCAAATATGACAGAATATGCTGGAAAAAAAGAGTCATTATGACGTCCCAACTGGAACCCTATCTTCTTGTATGATGTTATTGATATGTTATAGTCGTCTTACTTCTTGTTTCTTTGATGAGAATATCTGATTTAAGCATATGTTCGTATGCATATAGCAAGGATTTACATTTTGTTGGTTAATTTAACTGCGACGACCCCTTGATTTCGTGCGACCGACTGGACTGCCCATTTAACATAGGGATTTTGCCGAGGGATTTACAAATGTAGACTTAAACTGTTGTGGATTTGAAACAGGCTGACAATTTAGCTATCAGTTTTGCTGGCAGGAGTTCTTTTCTCATTTATGACTAACTTACTTGCACGACCCTCATATGTAACTTTGATTTGAAGTAGGAATTTATTAAACAGCCCTTATTAGTGCTTGCAATGCTACATTCAGTGGCCTACCCTATTTTTAAGTGTTTATGTTTAATTAAATGTAGCACATTACTTGAGCAACTGTGTATTGAGTTGATGTCTACCTGATCCTGAGGTAAAATCATTTACGGAAAATAAGTTTTCTTATGTAAGGTCTTTATCTGGTACAGAGCTACAATTTGAAGAGCCAAATATCAAGCTATCATTAATTTGCAGAGCTGCTTGGATCAAACTGTGGGGAGTTGTAATGTTGTGGACTCAGTCTCCTTGTCTTTTGACATCATGCCCTTGTTTCAAGTAAAGGTTTGTCATTAATTTACCTTTCCATTAATGTGAATCTCTATAGTATGATAGCGGCGTATAATACGTTGTAGACGACCTGACCTAGTTTGATTAAGGCTAAGTAGTAGTTATTGTAGCGCTGTTGTCCTTTTCAGTATGTTCTGATCAATGCAATTCATCTGTTTTTCTGCATTTTTCAGATTTGCTTGGCATGGCTTGTTGATTCCCCGCAAGAAAGAAGGAACCATAAGCTGTAGGCAGCCTGGTTGCGATAATGTTTGCCACGTGAAAACCCAATAAGGGGTGACCATCTCTCAGCAAGTTCTCAAGTATACGAAGAAACATAATGATGAACTAGTTCAGTTACTTCAGTGTCTTTTGCATGTGATACAGGAGTTTGGGTTCGTTGGGGTTCTCTTATTGCCTGTTACAATACCTATCTTGTGGCATTCAGAAGTGAAATAGAGTTCAGGGATGGAGGAGATGAAGACAAAACTATGCTCCTCCCCGATAGTATTTTGACTTTGAAATGAACCTTTGCTCAGTGAAAGTTAGTGGTGAAGTTGTCCATAATGCTTACTGCATTGCAGTGAAATTGATGCATTTACACTCTAATTACCTACTAGCTGGTTCCGTTTCCACGGACAGAGCAAGTCCTCCAAATTAGATTGCATATAAAAGGGAGCACTTCCTCCTCTAGTTCCACTTCAACCTTGTTAGTCCGTGATATTGAGAATGTTACCAATTGTGGCATCCTTAATCCACAATCAATTCTTCAGTGCTGAAATTTAGAACAAATTAAAACGTCTTGTAATAAAAACGAAGGGAGTATTATATTTCTTGATTCGACGCTGAATAATAGATTGTTACTTGAGGTGGGAGGGTTGCATGGCAGTTAGGGGATTAGGATGAGAGATAGTTATTATCGGAAGATTGAGAATTTAATTTTTGTTGGGACCATCTAATTTTTTTTTTTAAAAAAAACGGTTATATAATAAATAAAATATCATATCTCTAATTTCGTGTTAACTTTTCTGGTAAAGTTCCTTTCGGTGCAAATTAAAAAAATTGCATGGGCGCTTCAACCTACGTGCGTAGATTAAAATTCACAATCTAAAATTAGGTCATTCTACCGTATCAAAATTTCCAGGAAAACTTGTTTAATTTACTCTCTTTCCCTCTTCGTTTGTTCGCGAGATTTATTCCATATCCATCTATTTGAAAAAGGGTGGCAAATAGATAGTACTATCGTGCCGAGAAGAAATCAGAAGGTTAGTTTCTTGTCATTACGTTCTTGTCTCTTTGATTTAATTCAAGTTAGATTCTTCTTAGTTGATTGATTTTTAGAGGTTAGCTTCACATTGCGGGTCGCATAAAGATCATCTCTGAGTAGCTTTGCTGGTGTAGCTGTTAGTTAACTAGAAATTGTTGCAATATAGACGGTGACGGGTTAAAAAAAAAAATCGACTTGCATCATTAGTTTGTGTGAATATGATGATTAGATAGATTTAGGAAGTGAGGTGATTCTTTTGTAATTTGCTTTCTTGGGTTGTATGATCTTATAGTCGAAAAAAAAATAAAAATAAAAAAATGCACGATCGTGAGTTCTTTAATATGCATGTTTTCTTTCTGTGTTCAATATGCATGTTAGGTGTTTGATTCTTGGTGTGAAAGGAAATTAAGTGTGGTTTTTACAGTCAGAGGTATTCCAATTGGTTTTTTTAAGGTGTTTGGAAAGTCAACCATCGGCTTAGAGATATGCTACTGAATGTAGGCGTAAGGGAGTAGGTGTAGGCCAAATTGATAATGGTCCTTTAAAATGTGTTGTAAATACTCCTGATTTGTTGCCTGATGTAGCGGACTGTGAATTTTGTGGCGCAAAGTGTTTATACTGAAAGACCAGGTTTCTGTTGTTCATCTGGGGAGGTAAAAATACAGGAAAAAGTCGTGCCTTTGGAATTAGTGGAATTGTATACTGGCAATTCTGAAGAATGCAAACATTTTCAGGCTTGTATTCGTAGCTATAATAATATGTTTGCGTTTACATATGTTATAATGCCTGAGCACGGATAATTGTATTATTTTAGTCTCAACTTAAACATTAACAGTAAGCATCTGCCTCTAACTTCTTAACTGCCCTTGAGCTACAAAAATCAGGAAACCCAGGGAACTTTTGGTGAACCATTATTGCCGTCTCTCTGGGTTTGGTGTTTATTTCCATGTATTTGCATGTGCTGAACAGTCTAATAGTCTTGTAAAAAAATTCGGTTCTTGCACTTCTTTTGGGGGTGTGGACTTACAAGAATGATGAAATTACTTATTAACGAATGCTTTTGTTTGTTGGGATTGGCATTTGAATTTTGAAATCACTTAAATATGTTTGGTTGCAATGCTTGATTAAGTACAAAACAATGAAGTTACGGAGAATGCAATTTGGAGCAGTGCCTTCAGATTATGACTATTTGAGCAAGTATGTGATGTTTTGATGTTTGATATCATGGTTCATGAGCACTGAAGCCCTTCTCCTTTGGCAGTCTATGGTAATTATTATCTGAAAGACAGTTAGCTGATTGGGTGTTTGCAATTTCACAACATCAGCTGTTCCACTCAGAACCTGGTTAGTATATTTTCTTTAGGTCCTAGCTATTTAAGTTTATTATTCATTTGTACTAGTTTACATTTTGATTGTGAAAGACACAGGAGGTACAAATAGCATTCAGTTAAATAAATGTATAATCAAGTTTAGATAGCAACTGCAAGGGTTAATTTATTTAAAAATTCAAAAGACTCTAAGTCCTTTAATGAGAAAGGTTTATTATTGATCTAATCTAAACCTATGAAAGATTTTCAAATCCTATTCAAACATAAAAATTTATCTAAACACCCAAAAAAATAAGAATCTAAACAGAAAAAGAATCAAATCAATCAATTGTTTTTTGCTAAAATAGATGACATTCATAAAAATACAAAATGAAAAAAAAAATTAAAATTCTTGTAGCTCCGGAATGTCTTGTTTCTCTAATTTGGGTGATTAACATTGAGGAGTCCTCCTGTCAAATTTTCTTGCTTTTTGAAAATCCCTAATGAAGAGTGGTTAACCTTCTGCTCTAGTTGCGGGAATATAGATATGTGGCACTTCTCCAATTTCTGCAGGAACCATTTCCAGTCATTCTATCTTATTCCTGGCCAGAATAGATTGTAGCTCCCTAGTCATTACTTGCAGTAGTTCATATCTTTGAGACCTGTCCAGATTTTCCGTCCCTTTAGGTTGAGAAGTTTCTTTGAAACAGTGGTTTATAAGTTAGCAATTCAAGCGAAGGTGCATGAATGATTAGAAGATGAGTCTCTTGCCTTCAGTTCCTTCTCAGAAAGTTGCTGTAAAATGGTGATCTTAAAAAATGATTTCCTAAGTGTTGGAAATTGCTTTCATCTGCATATTCGTTGGTTGGCCTAATAGAGACAATTTAACATGCCATGTTGTTCCAAAAATTGAGATGTTTGATTTGTGAATTCAGTAGTGGAACTGAAATCTTGCAGCCGATTGTCATGAGCTAGGAGACTAGGACAGGTTGAGCTCTGGTGTGGTTATCTTGGTCTGTCACTATTTTTACATTAATGACATTGTAAGCTGGGAGAGTAATAAGCTATTATATGTTTATAAGCTTTTTAATTGCTGACAATTGCCTATTTTCTTTGAGGTTTTATTAATCTTTTGAATGAGCTTGGGAAGTTGCAGATTTTTACTGGGTTGAACTGTCACTTCTGTACTTTGGTGGTTACTTCGAGATCAGAATATTTTCTCATACTTATTCTTTCATATCGGGGTTTCAGGTTTAGCTGAAGATCAAACCAAATTAAAAATGCTGCAGAATGTTCCACATCAATTTGTGCATTCTCCAGCCAGGTTAGGATTAACAAATCCTAATTCACCTTCACTTCAAAATCCTACTCCTCCTAAGTTCTCTCAAGCCCCAGTATCTCAGTTTTCCAATCAGCAATCAAATCTATCAAATGCAATCTCCACATCGTCATCCCTACTTCCCCTGCTCCCCCCACTGCCCAGAGCTCAATCTATCCTCCTTCAAATGGCTTCCCTTGCTTCAAGACTCTTTGAAGTATCACCAAATAGGTCCCAGTGGATTAGTTCCTTCCGCAGCTCTCTGCCTACATTCTTGTCTTCCCAAGGCCAAACTTCAACACCATCTCGACCAAATCTTTCTCCTTCATCTTCCAAAGATATTCTTTCCCTCTTTTTAACTCTTCAAACTCAGCTGCTTGAAGCTATCTCTGAACTTCAAGAAATTCGTGAACTCCAAGATGCAAGACAGAAACTCTCCCTTGAAATCCGGTCAAAGGATGCTGCTATTCTTACTTTTGCAAACAAACTCAAAGAAGCTGAGCAAGTACTTGACAACCTTGTAGATGATTATGCTGATTATCGTCGCCCAAAACGGTCCAAGTTGGACGACGGGGCAGAGGGTTCTTTAACAACTGTTACATCGCAGCTGAAACTGTCGGACATATTATCATATGGCCATAGGATCAGTTACACTACTTTTGCACCCCCAGAATTTGGTGCTGGAGCAGCTCCTCTCAGAGGTGCATTCCCTCCGGCTCCTCAAGAGGAGCAGATGCGCGCATCTCAATTGTACAATTTTGCTGATCTTGATGTTGGTTTACCGAAGACAGACGAGGGTAACGAGAAAACTATTGCACCACTGATTGATTTGCCTGCTCCAGAACCAGATCCACTTTCTAGTCTTCCTGGAATGGAGAATCTGCTTCCCCCCAATATTCTTCCTCCACCAGGGTGGGAACCTGGAATGCCTGTGCAGTTGCCTGATCTGCCACTAATTCCTCCAGTTGGATGGAAACGGGGTGATCCTATTACACTGCCTCCACTTGACTCTCTTCCCATGCTTCCAAAAGTGGACAAGCAGCAACCTCGACCAATTCCTCCAACGTTAATGAAGGCACCCAAGCCTATACAGGTCCGGCATGTGCAGCTTGATATTGAAGATGGCAGCAGTGATTATAGCAGTGACATGGGCAGTTCTGATAGTGAAGACTAATTCGCTGACTTCCATGCTATTTTAAATTATGAAGATAGTTGATGCCTTCTGTCAAAGGAGCTGAAATGTGTCAATTCGACATAGTACTTGTCACAGATATATTACCCACTTATAAGCTCCGAACTTTCTGCATTTTTATTACCAATACTTCTTGTAATCTCTGAGAAATTTGGCCGTGTATTCGAAATGGTGAATGATCTCAAGTCCAGAGATTTCTAAATGTAGTCAGTAAATGTACAAGGCATATTTTCACTGAAAACACTGTCCGTTTTACTTAAGTAGTTTCTTCGCAGTGCATATGACATCCCTAGGTACCTCTGTTCGTGATTGCTTGAATGGTATTAGGTTTAGGTTTGTAAAGATGGTTAAGCAATTGTGCTGACATGGTCTCTTTCCCGTGGCTGGTTAATCTGGGGACAGGTTGTTTTGAAAATTGAAGGCTGTTTCAGTTTTTGTGGATGTTATCTGAAGTAATTCAAATGGAAGTTTCTACTTGAGAAAGGAATTCAGATTCTTTTCTCCAGGAAAGGCTTTAATTGAGTATACAATAATGTGTTTAGAACTGCAGTGATGTAGGTTTGTTTCTAGCTGTCTTTATGGCTTATAGCTTACTATAATTCGATGAGGTTATAGCTTTCCTATTTGATTTGAATTAATAATCAAACTAGATGCTTGGCCAGGCAGATGCCCGGGCGCCCTTCTACTTTAATTTTGTGTTAATAGATAAATGAATTCATGATTTGAAAAAAATAAAATAACTACACATTTGGTTTTTTTCCCCCTTTTTAACCAAAAATAAAAATAAAAAATAAAAAAAAATCATCTGCCAAAGGAAAAAAAATATTGAAAAGTACAACGATGTAGAAATCATACAAAAGAATGTAGAGTAATAAATGGGATAAGTTTATGGGCAAATTTAAACATTATTTTAATTTGATTGGTAAATGATAAATGTTAGGAATTAAAATTGTGTAGCTATTTTTATAAAGTAACTTTTGTTTCTCCAGATAAATTTTTTTTTTTCTTTTAAAAAGGGATGACACGTGGCAGAATGGTTAATGCAATATGGTGCATTTGAAGCCAAAAATTTTTAATAAGAAATTGCCACATCAACATCTTGTATTCTGCTTTAATAGGGTAAAAGAGATTTACTGGATCGTCCACATGTCCTAAGCCCTAAAATTTTATTTCCTCTCTTCATGGATCTATGGATGAAATACTAATCCAATAAATCTGTGTTGCATCTCATCCTAAATGTTTGTATCAAGATGCTGTTTGTAGTAATAACAGAATGGTCGGGGCACAACAGCCGTTTGAGTCTTCTGCACTAGTTTCACATAACATTTTCTACACATTCTTGGGAGACGACAATTCTATTGAAACTCAAGAAACGAGAGAAATGGAATCTGCTACAAAGAGTCCCCTACAGAAACTACAGAAAACAAATATACACCATTACTCAAAAAAAGTTAAAGATATTGTTAGACCGTAGCCAGAGTTTAATAGGTGCTAATTTATTTTTGCTTATGGCAAAGCAGAGGGCATAAAATGCCTCTTTCACACATCACTTTCCTCACATCTCACATCCAGAGATCACTGCTGCATAGATGCGTTCAACTTGGGAAAGTCCCTCCTCTCGGCTGCACCTCAGACTATTGATGAGGCATACAACGGAGAAACCAAGAGCTCAATTCCTTCTCTGCCCTGCAGATCGGGGGAAACAGTTAAATTTCTTCTTCGGCAAATTATAAATGCAGCTAAATAATTGGATGAACATAGTATTCTTCACAACCAGCTAACTCTGGAATCACAGGACTAGATATCAACATACATTACACATCTTGGTTTCACGTAAAAATTCAAAAGTAGCTCAAACTTCAACTTCTAAAAAACATGAGGCCAATGTTAACTGGCAGAAGTTTATTTAACACGTGAAATTTCAATGAAAATTCAACAGCGAAACAACCAAAGGCCATTAACGCAGAAGGATGTTGCATTAAATCATGAGCTAGATCCTACTGAGCCAAGGTAACTTCAAAATTCTACCTTCCAAAAAACCACAGGGTCAATGTTGCTGAAGAAAGATGATTTTACACAATATCTCGCAACTCCTAGTATGTGTTCACCCATATATTTGATGGCTACATAACATTATCATCGACAAATGCTACAATGGACCATTTTCTACACGAGTAACATCACATGTTTATCCTAATTCGAAACTGCACTTCAGCAGAAAGCAGAAGATTTTCTTCCTGCTAAACATAAAGATCAATCCAACCTTCAAAAGGATATGCTACAGCACATGACAATATTATGTTAAAGCTATATTTGGAACAGAAACCATAATAGGGTCCTATCATTGTTTTGTCTTATTCAGTGTTCTCAAATGACAAACCACCAAAAATACTACCACCACCAAAGCACCAGAAAGAGAACGTGGAAGTAGAACATCAGACTAGAAAGAAAAAGATAAAAAAAAAAAAAGGAGGATGACCAAGCACAATTACCAATCATGATTCAGTTCCTCCAAATGGATCATGAGATGGACCAGTATCCTGTCCAATATGTCGCTGAACAAGCCGCTGTAGATCAGCCATGACTTTCTGTTCTCTTTTAGCCTTCTCCTCATAATTGAACATCGCCAAGGCACGCTTGTCCTCAGCACTGTAGACCTGGTTTTCTTTCCTGATACGAATAGCATTCATCCTCTGATGCCTACTACCACTCATCACATATCCAAGGTTCTCAAACTTTGAAATCTCCTCGGCAGATAAACCCACTTCTCCTCTACGAGGAATACGCTTCCCTTGCTGAACATACTGTGCAATAGCATCACCTTCACCTGGCCTAAGTGCCCCACCATAACTGATATGCCCCTCAGCCTTAGGCAAAGGCATTGGCCCAACTATGGGCTCATTGTCTACTGCAGCTTTCTTCCTAGCCTCAAAAAACTCTTTGAACTCAAGCACCTCACTATCAAGTTCATTCGGCTTCGACTCCTCCACTATATTCGGTTTAGCATTACCTGCAGAACCAGGATCTGACAGAGAAGCCTCCTTATCACTCTCAGAATCCCTCTTTCTCCTGCTACTTTTTGACCGTTTCTGCTTTTTGAATGACCCCTTGTCAGAATCCTCACTTCCACTCTCGTCTTCACTCTCACTCTCATCTGAATATTCCTTCCTCTTCCTCCTTCTCTTGCCAGTACTCCGGCTTCTTCTCTTTTGCTTACTCTGCTTTCTTCGAGATTTCGTACGGCGCCTTCTGCGTTCTTCTTCTTCAGAACTTTCACTCAGATCATCTGAATCACTCTCACTCTCAGAAACAGACTTCGACCTCCTACTCTTGCGCCTTGAACTCGACTTCTTAGGCTTCCGTTTTGCCTCTTCTGACCTATCACTCAGCTCATCGGAATCACTCCCACTCCCGGAAACCGGCTTGGATTTCCTACTACTCTTCCTACCACGCCTCGAACTCGATTTCTTACCCTTCTTCCGCCTCCTTGACCTTGAATCATCAGATTCCGATTCAGACACCTCAGAGGACTCTGAACGTGAATCAGAGTCAGACCCGCTTCCTGATGAACTTTTAGACACCGATTTAGATACAGCTCTTTCTTTCACTTTCTCGTCTTTTACCTTCTCCGCCTCGCTCTTTTCTTCAATTTCATTGTCAGAATCCTGATCCAGAGGTTTATTTGGATCTCTCGGAGGACTAGGAGTGGGATTCCATATGCAATTATGAAGCCGTTTCCTCAATTTCAGACGCTTGAGCCTCCTGTACTCCTCAAAATTCAGCCCTTTGAGTTCTTCATCAGATTCCACATCTGCATATCGTCCTCCTCCGTTTCGAGAATCTCGATCAAGATAGGATTTCTTACTACCGTTATTATAATTAAAGCTTTTCTTCTCTCGAGTTAGGGTTTCTTCCCTAGGTGGATACGAATAATCGGGAGAGGATCGTCGATCGTACCTGGAGTATCGGTTGTAAGCTGGGCTGCGACTCCGACTCCTACTCCGGCTGAAAGTCCTGCTCCGACTACGCCTCATGTCCCGACCACTTCTGGGGCTGGGACTACGGCTACGGCTAGGACTCCTATAGCGATTACGATGGTGAGAATAAGGTTCCGAGGAATATCGGCCGTTATCCTTGTGCGGACGCCGGCGTTCATAGGGTATTTCAACGGCGGACGCTGGTCGGCCCATTGGAGAGGATGGATATTGATGGTTTGGGAACGACGGGAATGTATTTGCAGAGAACCGCTCCCTTCTTTTTCAATATCGAAAAGTTTCAGTTAAGGGCTTTGAGAATTTAGAAATTATTAATATGGCATATAACTTTTATATATTTGTCACTAAGAGTGTTAAAAAAATTTATTGATTCCAACTCCATCCTCTAGAGTCTAGAAGATGAAAATATCAAAATCGTTGCAATAGAACAATAGAATACTCAAAATCATATTCAACTTATGGATTTATGGTTGCTTTTTGTGGTTATTTCTTTTGTGACTGTTCACTTATTAACAAACTCACTCAGTCTAAAAGAAAAAATAGTCTATTTGAGTTTAGTAAAAATCTCAAAACTCAAAATGAATTATTTTTTTGAGATGGACGAAAAAATAACTATACGTACTTCGTGCTAGCCTCATGTTTGTTGATCGTCATTGCTTCTTGTTCCATTTTCTTTCTTTAATTGCTCAACGAAATCATCATTTTTTTTTATCGCAACGGGAAGTTCTATCCGGTAAGATTCTAAAAATTATTCATATTATGTTAGAGTTTTGACATTTTGGTTTTCACCTGGATGAACGTCATGCTGGGGTGAATACCATCTCGCTTTGAAGGTGTTGGAGACTAAAAAGTGTATGGAAAGTTGGAAACTAGAAAATCCATCAGGCTAGCATTTTCATTCCAACGGGACTGGAGTGACGGTCGTTTCGTCCTTTAGGGAACTGAGAAGACCTTTTCCCATAAAATGGAAGTATTATCAGTTCTTGTGGCCACAATAAACACAGTTGAATGCAAATACAGATGCAGAAAACGGGAAGTTGCAAATGGTTTAATGCTCGGATGAGGTTACTTTCTTTCTTTGAACCTTGATTCCCTTTTATGCTCGCCATCTTCAAAATGGCTCTACCCCGCAGTTTTACATATCTGACAAGTATCTTTCAGATTCAAACCTCCAAATGAAAAGGCTTGATTGTCATGTAAATCTGTTCTGAACAATGTCAACAAATTGATCATATTAACATTTCCAGGGGGAATTATATTCAGAAAACAAGCTTTTTTAAAGAAGAATGATCTGATAAGTTTCATCATCCAAAGCATCCCTCAAGAAAAGCTCAAGTTATAAGGTACCAACTAACTTCAAACTAAGGGGGATGGGTGGGGAAGGAGCAACAAAGAGTCAGCTATCCTACGGAATGAAGAAAACAAAAGCTTCACAAAGGAATTTGTGATCATCTGAGACTATCTTAGCAGTGATCCTGCTCGGAAGTTAGGATTATTTTCAAGGGATCCATGTTTTCCAAAGGGGGGAATGCTCAGGGATCGTTTCCTTGTTCTTGGGGTACCAGAATTTGGAACCTTTTTCTCATTCTTGTCTCTGAGTAAAGAAGAGTAGGATCGTGCTGGCGGCCCCAATTGATTTTCACCTTTGTGGTTCCTCAAGAACAAATCCAGATTTCGTTTGTATTTTTCTCCATGTGCTTCATCAGTGCTTGGCTGCTTTTTGATATCATCCGACAAGTTCAAATTTGAAAACAGTTTGTTGGCAGACTCTTCATCATCAGGCAAATAACCATTCTCTGGGATATCTTGCATGGCAAGGTCATCATACTCTTCATCAGATTTTGTCGACCCCTCGTCCACAGAGCCCTCCATCTGCGTAAATCCAAATATGTTTGTTATAAACAGAATGAGAATCCACAAGTTCATATTCAGGACGTAGCAATCAGATAGGATGAAAAAAGTGGCACATTTTAAGAACACCAGACAACATCATTACTGGCAGTAAAGAAAGGTATTGCTTGCAATGTCCATTTAATCTGAGTAATATATTTGAGGGAAATATGAAAAAAAAAAAAAAAAGATGCAGCATGTCACTAGGATTTCACATCAAGTTTACCATATAGAAAGTAAGCAGTTGTACATCATTTCTTTTGCTTCTTTTTTTTTAAAAAAAAATGGGTAGAGATTCTATTCTGAAATATATACAAATCCATACCTCTTCCTGAATCTCCTTCTCACCATCACTGAAATCCTCATCACTTCCTTCTTCAGGAGACTCATCAACCTCTTCATCACTGCCATGCACAGATTCTTCCTCCTTGAGCTGAAAAAAAAAAAAAAGGTAAAGTCCCACAGAAATCAGCAAATGCGGAAAAACTTTCTATTGAAGGATGAAAACTTAAGATATTAAAATTGGAGGCAAGGAGAAAACATTTGTAGCTACGCACCGTAATATAAGGAACAATAGCAAACAGTATTTAAGAGGTTCAACCTTCGCCAACAAAATTTGACTCTGCAAATACTGACTACTAAAAGTTTCTAATAATAAACTGATGCATAAAGGTCCACAGTAATCCTCAAATAAGAAGTTACCTCCTTTGCAGCACCCTCAGAGAACCGCGGAGAGCTGCAGCATGATGAGTGATATCTGCTACCATTGTCCGTCAAATCACCCCTGGACTCATCCACACTGCTGGCACGGCTAGTGCCACCTGTATCGCTGGGCCAAGCACTGATCCCAAAGTTGCCAAACTGCAGATTAACAGGCTCAGCCTTATCTATTTGCAATGGACCGTACATAGCAAAAATAGGCTTTCCATTCTCATCTACAGAGTTGACAGGCCAAGCCTTTGCTACAGATCCATCATTATTCAAAAGAGCCATCAAATGCCTTGAAGAACCTTTCCGTTGGATCAGTTGGAACATTCCTTTGGAGGTTATGGAATTGGCAGCACACTGATTCTTGTATTCCTCAGCTATGACTGCAACTGTATTTGTTAATGGATCATAAAGTTGATCTCCTGCTTCACGCCTACGCAAACAACTGAAGACTGTCGCATGGATGGCTGCCACACTTTTGTCAACGTTTGTATTATTTATCTTGGGCACTAAGTGCTTATCAGCTCTGTTGCACAGATATTCTTGGATTGTTCTGATGTTTCGTATGTATTTAACATACTTGTTTTTAGCTGGATCCAAAGTCATATACTTTGCTCGGACTGCAAATCTTTCAAGATGTTTTTCCTCATTTGAAATGTAAATCATAAATGGTATGATAGAAGGATGCTTCTTCATGAGGCCCATCTGGCATGTAAAATGTTAAATTGGTGTCAAAAGAACATAGCAGAGAACATAAATGCTGCATTGAATGGAAACCAATCATTACCACGAAATTAAGGCTCAAATGAACACCCTCCACCACAACAGACTGTTTCCTCTCTTCCCAAGCAGTAATAAGGCGGTCGAGGCTATCAATGACCATCTCACTTTGGGCTTTGAATCCTTCAACTGCCATCTGTTTTTGACTGATCAATTCAACAGAGCTGGAATTGCCTTCCATGGATGATTTCCGTACAGAAGAACCGTCAATCATCTCATCCTTTGACAATGGAGGAGTTGAAATGCCAGCAGTTTTCTTTGCTTTTCTCTTGGCTTTTGCTTCAGCAACTGCGACTGGATCTAAATACTCACCGGCGTGGTAAGTCGAGGCCCATAGCAGGGGGTTTTGCTTTTCATCAACAAAACTCCTCATCATATGCCTAATAGAGTCTGTAGATATGACTGTTGTAATCCCCAATCTGCTACCCTGAAGCAAAGAAAAATATCTCACTCAGAACTATCATTGTACAAAACATGGATCAATGTACCCCATGTCGGTAAAACATGGTTATGGTGAAAGCATAAGCATGTGAAAATTATGAAAATGTCACAAAGCATGGGCTCCTAGGTTTATACATGTTTCTCCATAAGTCACAAATTAAAATAGTTCCTTTTCCACTGGTTTCAACATTTAATTTTCATCACAATGTCCCAACATATTAAATCTCACTGAAAGTCATTCTAGTAGTTTCCATACACCAAATGGTGCAAGGTCAAGTCTCTGACCACATTCATTTAAAGGGTCAATGTCACAACAACTAGTATCCAGTTACTTTTAAGAAGCCACTCCAAAATTAAAATGAAAGATAACTTCTACTGTGGGCATGATTAATAAAGCAAGGGTAACGAAACCCTTATAAATCAGAAAAAAACCAACAAAAGTTCGAAACCAGTTAGAAACGGTGGAAGAGATTGGGGAGCAATGTACCAGCAATGCAGACAAAGTAGATTTGCCACAGCCGCTAGTGCCACACAACAGCACAGTAACTGATTCTTTTCTTTCACGGAGTCTGCAAACAAAACAAAATGAATACTTTAAGGTTGCTTGTTCGCCTCACATCAGGCTCACCCAAAAAAGAAAAAGGAAAAAAAAAATTCCGTAGATCGATAGCAAATATTTACCATTCCACCACATAATTTAGTTACACAGAAACTTATAACTTGATAGTTCAAATCATCTTTGAAACTGAAACAGGTGCGGATTAATACATAACTTTTAGGCCTCAGATAATCATAGAATTAGTGGTCTCAACATGCTCATTCCCATAGCAGTAATCCATTCAGAAAGCAAAACATACCCATCTCAACTGAACATAGAAACCAAATATACCTGCAAGCTAAAACCAAATCAGCCCTTTGATTGAGACCAACATATTTGTACTCAGCAAGAGCATCACAAACGATATCTAGGAATATCTCTCTTTTAACAACTACAGTTGTACGCCTCTTATACAACTCAAAAGGCAGGGTGCTTTCAGTATCATCCCTTTGAACAGAATGGGCAACTCCATTTTCTTTTCCCCATTGCTCAACAAAATCATCATTCTCCTTCGCAGAGTGTACCTTTGAAGCACCGAGTCCTAAAATCTCTGAACCAAATTCAACCACGTTCTCAGCAGGATATTCACTTCTGATCCTCTCAAAAACCCGTTGACTAATCTGTACAAGGAAAGCAAAGGCATTAACCAAAGCAAAATATCCACAACGAAAAAATTGCAGTTATAAAGAAAATAAAACTAACATCAAATTGCATACAATTCAGAGTCTATACGCTAAAACTACAAACATCCACTTAAGGCATATCCAGAGAGCAGAAAGAAGCAGTAACAATTGCCTAATGCCTGGAAAAAAAATCCCACTTAAGACATATCCAAAGAGCAGAAAGAACCAGTAACAATTGCTTAATGCCTGAAACATAGAGATAGAAAACAATAATTACACCAATCACAATTGTTTCTCACAGTTTCTTGACTGATACATTCAGCATGCTAGGGAAAACATTGAAACCATGAAGCTCCACCCACATATAGGAAATTTGTGAATAAGTATGTGAATACACTGAGCAGATAACCACAGCTTCAGATGAAACAATGGAGTACTCAGAATGCAAGGAACGAACACAATGAGAAGTTCTACCAATTACTGGCCAAATGCAATCCAATTGCTACAAAAGTATAGTGAGACAAATTTGGCACATTTGATAAGCACCTCAGAAAATGTAAGATGGAAGGTACAAATAATTGCCCGTTACGCTATGGTCCGGCCAAAAACAATCAGTTACTTCAAGGGTACAGACAAATCCAACAAAAGGCTGATGTGAAAAGAACAATAAGTTGAACCAAGCGCTAGGCAAATACAAAAATAACTCAATCCTATACCACCAAGAGCTCATTGGAGTTACTTCTCTCTTGACCCATAGCTCCTCAGCACATGAATCAAATTAAAACCCCAAACTACATAAAACATTCACACAATGAATTTGACCAGTAACACCGCCTGCATATCTACAACAATCCCCGTTTCAATTGCCATAATTTACTAGGTACAGTTCATACATGTCGAATATCTGGCTGCCATCAAATTAGAGAGAATCACAAGGAACCACATTCACCTTTTCTTTATGATGGTGGAGACAAAAAGACAAGTTTGTATAAACAGCCATCATCACTTCAACTATTCACTCCCCCAACAGGCACAAACACTTACCAATAATATCCAGTTCTCGTGATTAACGACCGGAATTTGACATTCTCCTATTATGAACCAAACAAGTTCAAAAAAGGAACAAAAGTAAATCACACATAACTATGACAAAAAAGAAAATGAAAAAACCATAATTAGAATTGCAGGGGCAATGAGGAAAAACATCAAGCCCGTTCCCAAATTCTCACTTTCACACTGAATCTCTTGCATGCAAGATCAACACCGTCACCAAATAGTTAATGACCACAATTACCATCAAAAACAAAAACATAAACACACTTCAAAAGGCAAATTCTAAGCTTCATAAGTGATAAACTGAACAAACAAACAAACAAAAAATAAAAAACGCGAGTAAACCTTAAAAGCATGACGAGGCTTGCATCCCATGAGTTGCAGAGTGCTCTGCAACACCGACCGCGTGTACCGAAAAGAGTGTTTTCCATCATCCAATTTACTCCCTTCCAAATCCTCATCCTCGCCGTCCACCACAACTATGTACAACACCTTCGCCGCCCCATCCACCGCCATTTCTGCTTCAACAAACAAAAAAAAAAAAAATCTCAATTACAAAAATTCCACATGCAAAAACAAAAACGCCGAAACGCGGAATTTCATAATGCAGCACCGAAAACGACTGTGTTACAGGATAACGGAAGTGGAAGGGGAAAAACCTGATTAAAAGGCCAAAAAAAAAAAATTGAGATTGTGCGAATTACAGGAATTCGGCACCGAACCGGAAGAAGATGGTAATAAAAGAGGCCGTGACGTTAGGGTGCGAATAACGGTGGGATCGAGATTGCAGCAGCAAGAAGCTTCGATAGGAATAAGGAATTGTTCAATTTAATGCGTGATCTCGCCATTTTTCGGTCAGCAGTTTACACGCATCGGAGCTTCAGAGCTTCCACGAGTCCTTTCCCTCTTTCAGCAGCAAACAACCAAAAAATATAGACAAACGCACTTTTCTCCTCTCTCTCTCTCTCTCTCTCTCCCTCCCTCTTTCTCTCTCTAAAATATATATACAATTGCTTTTCTTTTTTCTTAATTTAAAGAAAGAAAACAATTTTTCCCTCTTTAATTTTTTTTCGCTTTAATGGCCGTGAGCTTGAAATTGACGGTTTCTGGGTCAGTTTATATAGTGGGAACGAAGCGGTGGTGGGCCCGGAATCCGAATTGTGGTGGTTTGGTAATTTTGGTACAAGGAAAAGGGTGATTTGGTACGATAAAGTTCCCTTTCCCAACAAAATAGATTACTCGGTGACAACGATTTGGCAATATTAATTCATTTAAGGGAAAAAAAAATCATCTTTTATTTTATTGATGATGATGAAAACCAAACTTGTACTGATTTAATTAATGCTAATTATAAATCATGATACGAAATAATTAAAGGTCTTAAAAAAATTAAGGTTTTTTCATATTTAAGTTAGTGTGTTTATTATTGGGTAATTTTATTAAGAAGATACATGAATAAATTAATAATTGATATTTAACATAATTTTGTATCAATCATAATCAAAGGTAGAGATTCTGATTCTGATCTTCTATCAATAGTAAAATATAGTAAGTTATCGATGTTCTTTTTTTTTGGGAGATATTTTTACCGAATAAAAGATTGGTTAATTTGGTAAAGGTATTAATCCTAAGATCTTCAATGTTGTAATGAAATCCCAACTCTCTCTCAATCATATTTGAAAGGTTTAAATTAATACATGGTAAAAAAATTTCATTCAATTATTTTTATTAGTACAATGTAATTGTATACCTTTATGAATTTTCGCACCCAAACGTATTGAATTAGATCAGTAATTTAATTTTCTTCATGGGAAAAAAAATCCGTAGATGGTAAAAGTAACAAGCTCTCGTGTTGAAAAAACTTGTGCCATGCCAATATAATGATAACGTTCTTTTTTGGTGTTAGTACGATTTTATTTTTCTTCTCCCGCTAATTTTGGTTTGCTAGAAGAAGCTTGGATATATTTGCTACAAAGAATTGGGTTATGATGATCATTTTGCTAGGTTATCATAACTCTCAAAAGTGTTACTCAGTCGTCCCAAAATTATTCTCTAGTTCAAATTTTTATTTTTAGTTTAGTTTGTACTATAAATGAAAACCAAACTGGACATTAATTTCGGGACATTTTATTCACTTATGCTAGAGGTTTGTTCTTGCTAATTAATATTGGACAATATTAGGTGTGAAGGTGGTTATGCCTATATGTAACATATAAGTATTACATTTAGGGAGGAGTGTAATACTGTTACATTCATCTTGTTTCTTTGAAACTTAGTAAAGTGAAATTCAACGTGTAGTTGTGTATGCTGAATGGATTCCTCCAAAGTGTATTATTATGCAATTCAAAACAAACACAAAGAACGTTTCTGCAAGCTCACGGTTTTCTTCAAAGCGCAGTCATATGAACTTGGTCAGAATCAGCGTCTTTGCTCCCAAAGCCATCGAAGAAGGGATTTTCTCCAACAAGACTTTTGAAATGGTCTGCAATTCTTCCCTTCTTCTTCTTCTTCTTTTTTCCCTACTTTTACTTCTTTTGATGTTTTCATCCAAAAATAAAAAAAATTTAAATTTAAAGCCTCAATTATAGTCCCATAATGAACGGCGCTTCTAAAACGGCTTTAACTAAGTTCTAACAATCCGTCAAATGAGCTAAAGTTAGTTTTATTGTAATGATAACCATCGATCATTGCCTTAACTAATGAGTATTATTAACTCCGGCATCTGGTGTGAACCTAGTCTCTCGTATTTTATTTATTTACTTATTTATTAGTGTATGTGGATCATTTTTAGAAGTTGACTTGACTAGCTGAGAGTGTGTTTAAAAAAAAAAAAAATTACAAGAAAAAATAAGAAAACCCTCACTAGCTGGTAGAGAGTTTCTTAGAGCAGCAAGAAAGGAAGAATTAGGGCATTACCGTGGATATCAAAATAATGAGTTGGGGTCGGTCAGTGTAACCTTGGATCACGGCAACCTAGAAAATCCCAAGTCAAATGATAACTAAGTTTGACCGAATGAAGATTAATTAGAAAAATAATGTGTTTTTCACATGGCACCATGTTCATTTTTGGTTTTTTAAATTTTTTTCCTTAATAAGTACTCCATCTATTACAAAATATACGTTACTTTAGATTTTGCACGTAAAGTAATAAGACAATCATTCTATAATTAATTTATTTGTCAAATATTTGTTTTGTCCCTCATTGATTGTATTGAAATTATAAACAATACTATATAAAAAATAGATGGCATCATTTATTGAGAGAAAATTTGAAAAATTAGCAATTAATTTACCTGTAATGTTTAAAACAACTTATATTATAAAAAAATCTATCTAAACCTAAAGTGACTTATAAAATAAAATGGAGAGAGTAATACCCCTTGTATTCTAAAATAAGTGTCACTAAACGACTTACATACTATTTAAAAAAAGAGTGATGGTTGTTGTAGAGAAAATATATATGGAATGAGTCATAACCGCCTATAATTTGACATTAATTTAATAATTTTATCCATTTAAAGGTTATGAGATAGTCCAGATTCAGTCACATCATTGTTAAATATTCTATTAAATTTTTCCTGCAAATAAGATAGCTAAATTAGTAACATATCCACCCCATTAAAACAAATGGTTATCATTAATCCAATTTCTTTTAAGGTTAATGTTGTAAGATTCGGCCAAAAACTGCATTATAATCATAAAACAATATTTATTTTGAAATTTTTTCATTTTACTAAAACGATACTAATTTCAGAATTGAGAAGGTATACAATACTATTAGTTGAGTTTATTACTCGATAAATACTTTTCGTGTTTATTTTGAGTACGTTATTTTTTAAAATAACAAATAGACAAATGAAATTGAGCGTCCATTGGATTTGAATAGCTTCTTTCCCCTTTCCACAATAACGTGAAATGTCAATTTGGTAAATGAAAAATACCAAACTTAATGTGTCTTAATCTGCTTGTTTCCAGGTTTCCTTCTTCTTTTTTCCTTTTTTCTTTTTCTTAAACACATTTACTAGTTTTTCTTTTGTCAAAATTTTAAAGCAGTAGTGTATTCAAACGGTGACATTTGCTTTGAAGGAAAATCAACATAAATAATGTTACTCAATTGCATGCATGAGAGGCAGTCAAGCTTGGGGATTTGAAATCTTCCCGGTACTAATAGTACTACTACTACTATGTATTTTCAATAATTCGACAGACTGGCTAGTATCATGAATCATGTGTCCTAGAAGTCGAATCTCACATTCGAACAAGAAAATCGTATAAGTCATAAGATTAAATTTATACTTTGCCTCATAAGCTATAATGATTTCTTCTGATAATGAAGTATATAAAGTTATTAAGCCTATCATTAAAAGAAGTAATTAAGTACAAGCCGGTCTGCATTCATCGAGATTTGGTGTTAGGAATTCGAGAGTTATTACAAATTAAGGAATTGAATTGTTGAGCTACGTGTCTACGAGCCTAAGTTTTCGGGCGGATTTTATGACATCCTTAACTATTAGTATTAGCACTTGTTTAGGAGGTTTCCAGTGATTTGACAGATGACCATCGGAGTGTTCAAAACACGATATGGTCGGAATCTCGTATCCACGAAATATTTTAATTTAATTTCTTAGACTTGCGTAGTACACCTTGGTCACGCTAAGATACCACACGTGCAACTGTGGAGGCGTAATTGACCTATACTTCCGATGGACGAGTTTTAGGTGTCATACGCGTAAAGCAGCAGCAGTATGGGAGGGGCGCAGAGGAAGGAAGAGAAGGCATGGAATCTTCCAACTCAGAACTGCCGGCACGCACTTTAAGATTCGGTGTCCTAACTCACAAAGTCCACCCATTCCTCCATTTGTTTTCTGAATTCTTGACGTTTATGATTCTTTACTGCTCCATTTCCCCAATCCAACCATTCTTTTTTTTTTCCCTTTCCGAAAAATAGCAGCTAGGAGAAGAAAGAAATTAACCAAAGAGAAAGGCAGGTCAGCTGGTGATCGTTTTCAATATTTTTGGAGAATAATATGTCTGGGTATTTGCAGGAAAGAATCTAATACTGTCATCAACATCAACAACGACTGATTGATGTGTAGTGATTGATTCACTTGTTCAAATTAGATGTCACCCATTTTACCTTTTTATGGCGAAATTACCCCAAAGATTCAATTCCTATCTATATTCGCCCTATTTTGGGTTTAGACACGTACATAACAACTGTTTACTCATGAGGACATTGATTAAACAGATTTAGAAAAAAAATATTTTGTGCAACTATCGTACTATGTAAGATTATGCGGCCAGATAGTATAAATAAGATAAAATAATATTTTTTTACGGAAACTGATATCTCCTACAGAAGTTTTAATCACAAAATAGGAAGTGTTAGTATTTGCTATACTAAAACAGGGATACATCAAGAATATATGAATTGTTAAACTACTTGTAGCTCGACCACACACACCAAAGAAAAAAAAAAATTCATGAAAACATTCTCCTTACGATCGAATTAAGACAATTTCTTTTCAACATTTATTTAATTCAGGTTCAAGCCAAATTAATCTTCCTTTGAAAAGTAATAAGTCTTTCCCACCACATTAAAGCAAACCGGAACACGGAATAACTTTCAATTCGGAACAATGTCTGTACGATGCAATATGTAAGACGAGTTTTCCCAAATTCAATTTCGTGGGGATTTTCTCTTTATTATTTTATAATTTAATTAAATTATATTTCAAAAAGAAAAGAAGAGGTGCATTATTAATTACAATTTGGTTCAAGCCGTCGAAATAAACTTTATAAAAAGATGTACGTGTATGATTCGTTCCACATTGCACAATTCAAAACGACCAAAAGCCAAAATAAGATAGCTTAATTAGCTAGTTGGCATATAAATCAAAGCTTTGTGGTTTGTCTTTTATTTATTCTGCTTATTTAGAGAGAATCGTTAATTGTGAAGTGAGTCTTTTTTTTTTTTTTTTTTTTTTTTTTTTTGAAACAGCTTCAAAGTCAATCTCCAGATTTTATTCTATTCCTAACAACCCCATACATATTCTAGTGGGATTTTATATTTGTCCCTCACTTCTACTGGGTTGGAATTAAGCACATTGAGCTTCTGTGCAATCGTTGTATATTACCATTATGTTCCAGAATTTATTCCGACGAAAAACTCTCTAGAAAGCTCCCGATATAGACAGATTATAAGTTAGGGCATGATAATTGTTATTCTTCTCGTTCCCAAATGACTTTCCTATATATATATATATATATATAATATAATATATGTATGTATATTGCATTAAAAATAAAAATTATCAGAACTGTCATGTTTTGTTTTTCTTGGAGGATTTCCTCTGTCAATTTTGTAAATGGTAGAAGTGTAGGAGTTGAGTTGTAAAAAACGATCATGCGCCGTTTGGTGTTATATATACCTTTTTACACCCCAAAAAAATGAAAATTAAACTGAAAATCATTTTAGGACAATTAAAATATTAAATTGTGTTCAAAATTTATACCCACCTTATATTTTATAAGAATTGGTCTATTAGTCTGCTACATTTCTATATCTTGACATGTATAACCTTATGATTCTTCAAGTGTGGATTTATTATGATTTGGCCTTGAAGGAAAATAAACTAACAATACTTTCTCCTTGTTTGGCCAATTCCTACGTGATGGGACGTGGAATCCCATTGAAGACGAGTAATTAACTTACTGACGAAGATATACGTAGAGAAAGTGTACGTCCAATTTTTTGACAATGAAATCTGCTTTCATTTTAGACACGATAAGCCTCTTTTGAAAATGCATTTAATTTTAAGTTGTAGAACTATATATATTTGTAAGTACTTCTTGTTCTTCCACATCATAAAGCAAAAGACACTCAGAAAAAGATACGGTGGCCATCACAATAATTCTATTACATACTCAAATGTGGACGGGACAAAATAAAGATTGGATTGGGACATAAAATGATATTAACATTGGAACTTTGATACTAGTACTTGATTTGATCGTTTCTGTTTGTCAATAAATTATTCTTGGGTACATGCTCGATGACTTTCGAACATACATTTTTATTGTGGAATCAACATATATTTTTCTGTATTGTCACAATTATTACTACCGTACAAGGTTTAATCAATCATTAAAAACGAACGTATAATTACAGTCATGGTGAGTTTCACGCACAAAAAAGTAAAACGGTATTCACTATTTTCTCCTTCCTAACACTTAATAAAATACAAACTCTTGTTTTGAGACAAATGAAGTATGTTGATTATTGGAGCAACCTGTTTTGCTTCAAATGAATCAATTATGTAATAAATGCATCTCCTGTCCCAAGGGTCTTCTTAATGTGGATTGAAAGAAAGAAGAGAAGGAGGTGGACCACAAAGACATTTTCCTATTCTAACCCCGTCCAAATTTAGGACAAAAAATTATTGCTGACAAAACAGGATTATTTCAAAAGTAGGAGGAATAGTAGTTAATTACACTAGTTTCAAATAAGGACCATCATCTAATAATGAAAAGGACACCTAAAAATCATTGGAACTTTGCAATTAAATGCCCCCCTCAGCAAAAAGATCTGAATGATTAAACGCATTTTAGTTTTTATAGACGTTAACTGGACTACCAACGTCTGTTGGATAAGGCCAGGACAATGTCCATTGTTGAGCCCAATACAATTTTCATATTAATTGGGCTTGGACTAGAAAGCTCAACTCTTCTGCTTCCACAATCTTTTTGCGTCCAAAGTGTTCGATGAATTGCCTCAGAGGAGCACTAACTAAACCATGTTAATTCGCCGGCAGATTAACTTCAAGCAGATGCTGATTTCCAAATTACAGAACATGCTTTTTCTGTTCGATGATAAGTAATTTTTCCACCCAGAAGGATTGTATCAGAACATCCAGGAATCCTATAAACTAGAGGCCATTTTGCCACGTAACGTTTACAACTGCACCACCTCTATTAGGATTCCCTCTCAGGTTAAGTTGAAGAAGATTTGGATTATGTTGTGATTATCTCTAACGAAAGCATCACTCTTAATCTATTATAAACTACTTGTTTATTTGACTAATCCATGATTGCACAATTACAAAGAAGAGAAACATTTACGCTGAGCTTGAAATGCATCCTCTATCATCAAAATTTTTAAAGGCAGCATCTGGCACCCATTTGCATAGACCCCAACAATGAAACAATGACAATGTCAGGTTTTGCTGTTATGGTATACGATGACACTGTTGAAGAAAACATGTTTTTGCACCTAAATCTTCTTCAAACTAAAAACATTCTTTGACGTGCTCACTGTCCAAAATTCCTAAATAACACTACATCTCCGGGGCTTACACCGTTAAACCTTGAGGGGCAGCAGGAGCAGCTGTCTTAGGTTTTGGCTTTTCTACGACAATAGCTTGTGTAGTAAGGACCATTCCTGCGACTGAAGCAGAATTCTGCAATGCGCACCTTGTGACCTTAGCCGGGTCAATCACTCCAGCCTCCACAAGATTCTCATACTTGTCTGTCATTGCATTGTAGCCAAACTCCCACTCACTTGCCTTAATCTTCTCAACGACCACCTCACCTTCGACTCCAGCATTAGATGCAATCAAGGATGCAGGTGCTATCAATGCCTGCAAAAATGATTAAGAAGAAGTTCACAATCCGAATCTTTACAGAACCCATGAATAGTTTGCAGTATAACCTAGGCTTGCAGCGTACACAACATCATCTATCAAACAAATTAAGCAATTACGATTTCAGACATTCATCCACGTTCACCTCCTAATAAGCTCACTGATAACAAATTACCATCATCGACCAAGATAGAACTGATAACTCAGACACATTTCACCTCATTTGATTACAATCCAACTAATCAGGACAAGCTGACCAACCATAATTCATTTGATACGGAAACTTATATTAGAAAACATTTATTTACCTTCTGCACAATATCTGCACCTAGTCGCTCATCAGCATCTTCAAGCTTCTCCTTTATAGCAGGAACACATTCTGACAGATGAACCAAGGCAGCCCCACCACCAGGTACAATACCCTCCTCAATAGCAGCAAATGTAGCATTCTTCGCATCTTCAATCCGGAGTTTGCGGTCCTCAAGTTCAGTCTCTGTTGCAGCACCTACCTTTATAACCGCAACACCACCAGACAATTTAGCAATCCTTTCTGCCAGTTTCTCAGAATCGTAGACAGAATCTGTTTCAAACAACTCCTTTTTCAATTGTGCAATCCTGGCTTGCAGCTCATCCTTAGATGCAGCATCAGCGATAAGGGTTGTTGAGTCTTTAGTGATCGTCACCTTTCTAGCGATACCCAAAGCCTCTACTGGTGTATTCTCAACAAGGAGACCCAAGTCAGTAGCTTGGTATTCAGCTCCTGCAGTAAGCCAATAGATCAGTCACCTCCAAACAGAAGATTGGGTAACCTGTATAACCTTGTGATCTAGACAAGCAAGACAAAAGCTGAACAACAGTTTTAGCAAAGTAATATTAAGACAGATCGTCACAGTACCTGTTAAAATAGCTATATCCTGAAGAAGAGCCTTTCTCCTTTCACCAAAACCTGGGGCTTTGATGGCAGCCACATTCACAATACCTCGCAGCTTGTTAACAACAAGAGTAGCCAGAGCCTCTCCAGTGATATCTTCAGCAACAATTAGGAGAGGAGCTCGAATTTGTGTTGTTTTCTCCAACAAGGGGATTATGTCTTTAATGGCAGAAATTTTCTGATCAGTTACCAATACTCGGGCATTCTCAAACTCAACAATGAGCTTCTCAGGATTAGTGACAAACTGCGGGGATATGTATCCTCTATCAATCTGCATGTAATAATAATGATAAAAAGGTCAATTCAAGCACATACCAACTAATTAAGGATGAAATTCTACATAAGAGAAAAGCCTCGTAGCAAAAGATGATTAGGTAAAGTTGGAAAATAAATCAAACCAGAACTGAAATTTTCATTGGAACAGACCTCCATTCCTTCTTCCACATCTACAGTTGTCTCGAAAGAAGAGGACGATTCAATGGACAAGACACCATCTGGTCCCACTTTATCAATTGCATCGGCAATCATGGTTCCAATACTCTCGTCATTGCCAGCAGAGATAGATGCCACAGCTGCAACATAGAAAAAGCATGCAAATATTAAAATTAGAATAACCACTGAACCAGAGACCTATGCATATCCTAAGGAACCAGCAGATAAAATACCCTTGATGTCATCTCGTCCTTTAACGGGCCTGGATTTCTTTTCCAACTCCTCAATTAACCCTAGCACGGTTTTATCTATCCCTTTCTTCACAGAAACTGGATTGGCACCAGAAGTAACACTCAATAAACCAAGCTTAATAATTTCACGAGCAAGGACAGATGCTGTTGTTGTGCCATCACCAGCAGAATCGTTGGTCTTGCTTGCAACCTATACACAAATTTCAACATGTCAGAAAAAGGTAATAACACTGAAATTATGAGCGAAGGTAAAAGAAGAAAAAACAAAACGGATCTAATATATAAAAATGAGAAGAACCTGACCTCTCTGATAAGTGCAGCACCAGCATTCTCCATAGCGTCAGGCAATTCAATGGCTCTGGCAATAGTTACTCCATCATTAACAACCTTCGGAGATCCAAACTCATCCAACACAACATTCCTTCCTGTTGTACATCACACGAACAAATCAAAATCATATTTTTGAAAACAATCTAACAAAATCTCCTAGCATTCAGAAAGCAAGTACAAAGGTAATATAGAGTAACGTAACAACTACTTTTTCCTGAAACTTTAACCAACGCATACAATAGCACTATCACTATCAGAGGCAAATTAAACACAAAATCAAAGTACATTCTTTTCTTCATCGTCAAAGTATCCTTAAAACATCAATTATCAATTATAAGACATTACTGACTCTTAAATGTTGCTAAAGAATACAAGAAATTCACATGGAAATGATAGTCTCATCTTGAAGAACAATGACTGTTTGGCTATGTTTTCACACAGCTGAGAAAGTTACAAGCAATTACTAAACAGATGTACAATTAATATCAAAACTTGACAGTCCCACTTAGAATAGACTAGATTTTTCCAAAAACAAACACAAACGAAGGATTGGGAATATCATATATTCAAACTGGAAAAAGTAATTACCCCTGGGTCCAAGGGTGAGACCAACAGCATCAGCAAGTTTATCAATTCCAGCCTGCATAGCAGCCCTAGACTTCTGATCGAAAGCAATATCTTTAGCATTAGCCCTGACAACAAACTTGCTGCTCTTGGTGGGTTTATAATTGAATCTCTGTTGTCCTTGCAGCAATCTGTTCGCCTTCCTACCTCTTAAACCTCCCTGAAAAAAAGAAAAAACAAACCCAAACAACAAAACAATCCGAAAAATTCAAAACCCAATACAAATTCATTCAAACAACAACAAACAAATTAACCATGAACCAACCACGAAGAAAGTAGTTACAAAGAATGAGTGAAGACTTACTTGCTTAGAGGGAGAAGCAAGGATTGAAGCAGTAGAAATAGCATTTGCTGAGGCCATTTTTCGACAAGATGAAATGCTAGGCTTTCTGGGTAATGTTATGTGGGAAGAAGCCTGTGGATAAGGAAAGAGGACGGAGTAACGATACACTATAACTAGGGCTTATAGAGTGAGTCGTTTCCAGAAGATTCTTTTAATTCCAGAACCGTTTAGATACAATTTGCCCTCTGTCGTTTTCCTCGGATTACACCAACTCATCCTAGTTTCAATTCAATTCTTTCCAAAAAAAAAAAAAAACTGAACGTTGAAATGGGCTTTGAGCTTGTCTTAAAAAAAAACAAAAGGCCCAGTCCTTAGATAGAAACACAAAAAAAGCCCAACCCCAAATCATCACCTCCGGTCGTCTTCTCCAACCTTGCCCGCCGCAAGCCGCTGCAACTGCCGACGAACGAAAAAAGAACCATAACTCCATTGCTTTCTTCTTCTTCTCCTCTTATCTGTTGATCACTTTTCCTCTTTTTTTTTTTTTCCTTTCAATTAGTCAACGGATCTGAAATTCCGTCAAGGTTAAATTTAATCAAATCAGTCTTGTACTGTTTCAGTTTCTTCCTTGAGGATGAGAAAAAGGCTTTGCCACCGAGTGCAAGTAATTGAGTTCCTGCTCAAGTATTTTTTTCACAAATCAGTAAGGAAACTGTGTATTGTGGAACTTTTTTGGTCTTCGTAATCTCAAGTCAGTGTGTGATCTGTAACACTTTTTGGTCTTCTTTGATCAGCTAGGTGTATAGTAGAGGCCCAACATCATGGCTGAAAATGGAAAGCAAAGAATCTTAATGGTGTCAGATTTCTTTTATCCCAATTTTGGCGGAGTAGAGAATCACATTTACTATCTATCTCAATGCTTAATTAAGCTTGGCCACAAGGTAAGCTATAAGCCTGAACTCTAACTTGTTATGAACCTTTTGCGATTGCTGTCTGCATCTTTTTGTTTTGTTGATAAGAAGGAGGCTAGTGAATTGATATCTGATGAAACCCTCCCCTATGGGATTAATATTTCCTCCATTAGATGCTGTATTTTATTTGCTTTTGTTCTCCTGAGTGGAGGTGTTATTTTTAATATTAGTGCTTCACTTAATTCAAGACAATGAACACAGGTAGTTGTTATGACTCATGCATACAGTGATCGTACAGGAGTGAGGTATATGACTGGTAGCTTGAAAGTTTACTATGTGCCATGGAAACCATTTCTGATGCAGAACACACTCCCAACCTTTTATGGGACACTTCCAATCATAAGGACAATTTTAATTCGAGAAAAGATATCTGTAGTCCATGGACATCAAGCCTTCTCAACTCTCTGTCATGAAGCTTTGATGCATGCACGCACGATGGGTTTCAAAGTTGTGTTCACTGATCATTCTCTTTACGGATTTGCTGATGTGGGAAGCATCCATATGAACAAAGTTTTGCAATTTACTCTAGCAGATGTAAGCCAGGCTATATGCGTTTCTCATACAAGTAAGGAGAACACAGTTTTGAGGTCGGGGTTGCCACCTGCAAAGGTCTTTGTTATTCCAAATGCTGTGGACACAACAATGTTCAAGCCTGCTCCAGAAAGACTCAGTAATGATGAAATTGTTATTGTCGTGGTGAGTAGGTTGGTTTATCGGAAAGGGGCGGATCTTCTTGTTGAAGTTATTCCTGAAGTATGCCGTTTGCACCCAAATGTAAGTCAATCTTCTTGTATAGCCTGCCTTCTGAGTTTACTCGCAGCAGGTCTATGAAAAAGATTAGGCAGGTGAATTAGGATGTTGTCAACTAGTTGTCTTATCTGGTTTCAACCACATAGAAGGCACATCTCAATGGTTGAACATTTCTATATGACTTAACTCCTGGCATGAACACCTTTAACGGAGAAATTATTGTTATTGCATCCACTGCATTGCATCAGCGTTACGTTAGAACTATCATCTTCTGCCTTTTATTTCAGGTTTCCTTAGAAAGATATTTAAGCTTAACTATCATACTATCTACATATCATAAATGATGGTCATTACATGTGGAGCATATCCCCCATTCTCATGAGAATGTAGTATTTTTCCTGTTCATCGCACATTATATGTGTCAATATCTTACAAAAAGTATTTGTCCTGTTAGGTACGATTTGTCATTGGTGGAGATGGGCCTAAAAGAGTGCGTCTAGAGGAAATGAGGGAGAAACACTCTCTTCAAGACCGGGTGGATATGCTGGGTGCTGTTCCACATGCAAAAGTGAGATCAGTGCTGATTAGCGGCCATATATTCTTAAACAGGTACAACTTTTAATGAAAATGATCCATTTTTTCCTTTTAATTGTGTAAATCTATCTACCTTGAGGGAAAATGTTAAGTAGCCTATCTGCATATTCATTGGTGGAATTAATCTGCACATCATCCAGTATAGATTTTGGTCATTTGCTAAGGGAAGAGAAAAGTTTTGGTCCTCTGATTTGATTTATTACAAAAAATTTTGATGGTCTCGCTTTATGTTTGCGTGGCTCAACAAATGCCTGATTCTTGCAATTACCTTGACAGTTCCTTAACCGAAGCTTTTTGCATAGCCATTCTTGAAGCTGCCAGTTGTGGATTATTGACAGTCAGTACACGTGTTGGAGGCGTCCCAGAGGCATGTCCTCTGAAATATTATAATTTCTTGCTAACTATATGGATTTTTTAGTTGACCTTGTTTCTCAGGAAGGAGGTATTTTTGGTCTAGTAATTCTGTCTTAAAAGACTTGTTAGTGCTATTCTCTGATTCTTATCCTTTCTGTACTAGGTTCTTCCAGATGATATGGTTGTTCTTGCTGAGCCAGATCCCGGTGACATGGTGCAAGCTATCACAAAGGCAATAAATATGCTTCCTCATATTGATCCACAAACTATGCATCTACGTGTGAGTGTCGAAAAATGCTAGTTTCCGTTAAATTAGGCTAATTTTCTTTCGAATAAAAAAAAGGCATTTTTTTTCTTTTGATTATATGCTTTTAGTATGTATCATCCCAGCTATTTCATTTAGAAATATTATTTTTGGGTATATGGTAATATTGACTGGACAGACCAAATAATGAAAAGAACAAACTCTTTGGCTATTTGTTTATACTGACGTTATCATTGGCCTTAGTTTCAGTTCCAGAAAATATGAATTTTAATCCCAATTTCTTACAGTTTCTTGCTTACTAGGATAGGCTTCTGTATCCCCCCTTCAAGATGCAGCTAAAATATTATTAATTGGAGTTTGAATTTCTGCAGATGAAGAGACTGTACAGCTGGCATGATGTTGCCAGGAGAACGGAGATTGTATATGAACATGCACTAAGATGCCCTAGTCAACCCTTGTTAGACCGGTTATCGCGGTATGCTTTGCAATTTATTTATCCAATATTATGGAGTTTCTGAGTTTTTTTTTTTCTATAATGATTATATCATAAGAATTGTAGTTGATCACCCGATTCAGACTTACTGGACATGTCGCATGCACCAGAAAATCATTAGTACTTCTTCGTTTTGAACTTTGTTGTGGAGAATCTGATCCCATTTACTTTCTAGGTACCTCACTTGCGGTGCTTGGGCTGGCAAGCTTTTTTTCGTGGTTATGCTCATCGATTTCATACTCTGGCGTGTCTTGCAAGTGTGGCAGGTACAGTGTCTTGCCGCCATTTACATTATAAGTTGCTACTAGTATTCATCTCTAGCTGATGATATAAGATATTTCCTGTCTTCCCCTCAGCCTGATGGAGACATCGAAGTGGTGCCAGAGATAGACCCTGCGAGCTTCCATCGAGTAGAGATGTCTCTAAATGGCGAGGCGAAAGAGAAAACCTGATGCCTTTTTGTTTGATTGATCTCAAACATAGATGACACGCAACTGCTAGAAAGTACTATATCGTAATTGCTGCTTAGAGATATACACAGAAGAATCTAACGCTCGTTGAACTGTCCGGTGTTAGAGTTTGATATTCCGCGGTATTCATCACTTGAGTACGCCACTTCTATGGAATAGAATCCTTATTTATAGTCCTTATAGAACAGTTGGTATGAAAGGATTATCTCTCTACACGAAAATATGAATCTATGATACAACTTAGTTTTGACTACATTCCTAGCGTGCCATGGTTACATTCCAATTCCATTCAAAACCAAGAATTAAGAGTGAAATGTAACATTTTGTGCCTAAAAATTTACTCTCTTCGTCTCTAAATTAAAATAAAATTATAAACTGGAGAATTACTATTTTGAAATGACGAAGAGGAATAAGTAATACACTATCAATCGCTCAAGTATTTGTAAAGCATGCACGAAGTCCTTTGAGCGTTTGGGCAACTGTTAATGATGTGGGACTTTTGAGAGACACCGTCACATTTGGTAAGTTGACACCTGACACTTGCTCATCTTGACTTGTAAATGTAGTAACAGTTTGACCAAAATCCATCCTGAATTTGAAATTTGAACCAGACTTGAGAAGAATTTATTCAATAATTTCCTTTCATTTTGATGGTTCCCAATAAAATAATGGTATCCTCATATAAAAAGCTTCCTCCCAAAGACATCTGGGTGTCCCCCCCCCCTCCCCCACGCCAGGCCCCCCAGAAACGGATAGAACCCTAATTACCAAATCCATCCATCTCTTTCAAAAACCAAAAGGAAGAAAAACCAACAACAATGGCCCCACGGCCCCCACTTTTCTGGACTCCTCCTCCTCCTACGCCGGCAACGACGCCGTTTCTTACGGCCTCCACCTCCAGTTCCAATGGTACCTACCTTACTGTTTCATCCCCTGCACCGCCGAACCCAACGGAGCTCCTCCTCCAGATGAACCCAATTCAGCTACCTCCAGAACACTCACCTCTTCCCCTGCCTCCACCGCCTCCGTCTGCGGCGGAGAAGACGCATGACGGCGGCAAAGGTAAAGACGCCCGCCACAAGAGAACTGTCAAAAGAGGCGGCCACCGCGTGCGGCTGCCGGCGCTCTGCGCCGCCAGAATCTTCCAGCTTACTCGCGAGCTAGGAAACCGCACGCATGGCGAGACAGTCGAGTGGCTTCTCAGCAATGCTCACCTCCCTCCTCCTCCTCCTCCAGGCATCGCCACCGCCGCCGTCGGAGCCGCCGCGCCATTTATGGCTCCGGGACTCCTGACGCCGAAGAAGGAATTCGAGATGTTTCCAATCACGACGGAAGGGCTGCTGGATACGATGTCGTTTACTTCACTGCTGATGCAAACAGGAAACGTTGGATGCGAGGAAAACGGCGTCATCTAGAAAAGTTTTGTTGTATTTTGGATTTCCCCAATTTTGAAGCTCCATTTTCGTTTGACTCGAAGTGGACTAACGGGGGGGCCACTGGTTGACTAGTCTTTATTTTTTATCCTGTGACCGTACCGTTTGTTTGTTAAGGATCAATCAAATAGGAGTAGTACAATAGAGAGGAGGGAGATTAGATTCCGGTAGGGGGACCACGTTTATGTGGTAATCATTTGTATAATTTTTCTGTTTAGCTCTTTAGTGTATCAGTGCTTAGTAATAATAGTAAGCTTTTCTTCTCTATTCATGTTTTTCGGATGTTTTGGCTATTTTGTTGACCAAACCAAACTATGATGAATTTCGAAGAATATCAATCGTGTTTCATGAGTTAACTATGAAATTATCGTTTTAATATGTTCACCAAATCTTGTACTCCTTCTGTTCCAAAATTATTGTCCAATTTAAGATTTCACTTTTAGTACAATCTGAACTAAAAATAAAAACTCAAAGTGGACAATAATTATGGGACGGAGAGAGTAAATCAGATGATGAAGTTGATACTGTGTTGCTGGGATATACTGATGAGGTTTAGGGCGCATTACATTAGTCCCGACTTCTGCTGAAATATGCCAATGAAAAGGAGTGCCATAACAAAGATTCCATAAACGACTATACACCACTTACCAAATGTGGACAATGAAGGATCGTATCCTTAGTATAATTGTATTAACCTCGGATAAAAATAACGAAACTTTGCATGACCCTACCAAAGGATTATTGTTAATATTATTTTTTGAAGCTTTGGATTTTGGAATATTATTTGACAATGAAAAGCACTGCAGAGAAACAAAGGTGAGCGAGTCCAGACGTTAAAGAGGAGTTGAAGTGCAGCCTGCAGCGGTGAGCAAATAAAATCATGCTTACGTCCCCTGGCATGAAGAGCAGCTGGTGCCGGCTTTTGCAGTGATCTCCAGATGACGGAGAATACTCACAAGCTGCTAAGATGGACATGACTGATTATACCAATAACACACCATTGACAGAATGATGTAGAACTTCGAGTTTCCATAGGCACTTACCATAGTAATCATTTACTTTCATCTGGAGGTTCAAGGTGTTGTTGCTGAGGCAATGAACGCCTCTTCTTCCTTTTAGTTTCAGATTTAGGAATATCTGAAGAATAAATGAATCAAGAAAAAAACTTAGGAGTATTCTGTTTGCTACTTGCAAAATGTCTAGCATATATGTTTCTCCAACAATCAAGGTTTCCACTGTTACTCAATTCAGGAGAAAGATTTTGAAATACTAGCCAAGATAGTGTTAATTCTTACGTAATATCATGTACTTAGAGAAGTTCTTGTAAACTTGACATACCTCCTTTAGGATAGATGGAATTGTAGTGAACCTCCGCCCAGAAGCTCAAGAAAATAACTGCAGAGTTAACCAACCATCAAAAGACAATTCCCATTTAATTACAAATGGTTTAGAAGAAAAACTAAGAATGACTAGAAGTTGACAACAGACAGCACCTCGTTCAGATTTTTGAGTACTCGGTAGTATCTCAATGTAACAGGTGTCCTTGAATGATGTGATGACAAATATTTTTACACCATACTGCAGAAAGTCACTACAAAGGATTAGAAATTTATTCTAGCATGAAATGGCTTTTAATTAATCCACCAGACAAGCTGAAAGGAAATACACATAATTTCCAGCTATGGAAAATTGGTAAGCTATAGATCAGCAGACCCTAAAATAATCTAAAACTAAGCCAAGATTACCGAATCTGCAGCAGCTTGCAGAGTCACGTGATCACCCCACTCACCATTCCTGATATCCATATATAAGATTTTAGAGATGCTTTTACAAACTCTATGCAGCTGTACCCGAGCCCTACTATAAAGTTTAGAGATAAGAATCGTACTTGGATATCTTTTCCAGATAGTCATCATAAGCCATGGGAACGTATCCCTCATACGTCTCAGGGCATGACTTTAGCTGGTACCTCAAAGTAACCCCAAGGAAACAAAATCATTTAGTTAAGGGAAAGAATTATAGCATACTATGAAGAACTCTGCACGAATTTGTCTTACCTGATTAACAACTTCCTGTCTAACAAACTCATGATGTTCAGGAGTCCGGTAAAATTGATCTGACAGAGCACGAAACTGGAGAACAAGAACCAGTCCAATCAGAATAACAATATTTCCTCTCTCATGAGCTAATGTATCACTATGTCGTTAAGATTTTGTAGTAGCTGGTTTTTTTGTTTTTTGAATGATTCAAACTTAATTTTCAAATTAGATGGTGATGTAAAGAAACTCCTTTCATGAACAAACATAAAGATGTTCAAAAATAGTAACATAAAAAGCAACTAGACAATGATTAGGATTCAACTAAGCAATGATTTGGATGAGATCATAACCAGTTCAGCACTAGTGCACTACACAGTTCTTGTAGTTGTATAACAGTACTCTTAAAGATGAAGCTCAATATGAGGAGTTTTCTGTTAAATTACATTACATCTGCACTTTAATTAAAGTGAATAAAAACCCCTTTTTTCAGGAGGTTCTTATCTTTCACAAACACATAGCTTCTTTCGGGGTGTTGCTCAACCACATGTGCAATCAACCAAAAGAAAACTTTTTGTTGGTAAGCTAACTTTAAAGAATGATTTTGAAAGTTGTACACAAAAAAGAGAAGAAAAGAAATAGAGATAGAAGCATAAGTCTGAATGCAAGAAAATGAGAAAACAGACCTGGCAATTACCATCACCTAGAATCTTACACTCCACCAGGTCGTATACCTGCAACCTTATATGTAAAGCTAAGCATATTCAATAGTAGGACATCAGTTAGTACAATGTCAAATAATATATGTGTTTTCCTGTTTCCCAGGAAGATATGAAAAGCTCTGAAACTTTATTTTGCGTAGTATCTGTTTTTTTTTTTAAGAAGAAAACACTTCCCCTCAGAATAGACACCTAAGTGAGATATCATAGTCCTAATTAACAAAAGATGTTCATGACAAGGGCAAAATCTCTGGGAAGCTAAAGTCAGTAGTATTTAATTAAAATCTCTGGGGAGATATCACTTCCCCTCAGTTTAGGATCTGTCACTGTTTTATACAACTGTGTCCCAAAAAAGAAAAGTGCATCCGTACCTCTCCAGTAGCCTCTGATGATCTAATGTTGCTTCATCAAGTGATGGTATTTCTCCATTAATCTTAGGTATGTGCTGCATCAATCATATAAGCATTTGAATACTATTACAAAGATGATTCCGAGATAAACTAAAACAACGTAATTCAAAGTCCCAAAAATGTTAATAAGGACATGGTACAATATAAATGGCAAAAGTATACATTATTTTAAGTTACATAAAGCAAATTGCAGTGGGAACAGATGCATACGTGCAGAACTAGATATTCAACTCGATGCATCACTTACAGGAATTGGAACCATTTGGTTCAACCTTTTGCCCAACTCGCCATCCAGAGCATACTCATCCATTAGTTCCAATGAGTATGACCATTGTCCAGAGTAAGACTCTCCTTCAGGGCTTGGACATCTCCTGGAAGTTATCAAGTCTGAAGCTACTTCACCACTATCCTCACCTACCACAGTACATGCAATAATGAATTAGAATACGCCATTGAAGTGAGCCAAGTAGCAACAAGATTACGAGTAATTCCATTACCAAAGGTGTAATTCGCCACAGGTGGGCCAAACCAATCTTGTTGATAAAAAGATGCCTGTGCATTTCCTACACCATCTGGGAAATTTGGGGATTGTTCGGAAAGTGAAAACTGAGAAAATTGCTCTTGAAGAGAGTTTGCAGTAAGCTCACTGTGCTCTGCACCGTTAAATTCGGTGATATAATGATTTTCATAACAAGCTGTACTATTCTGTGGAAGACTGCCATAATAGCTGCTATTAGAGTAAGGATCCCCATCAAATAACTGAAGACCCCAGCGAACAACGTCAGGATCTTGTTCATGTGTGATCATTTCTAAAGGCTCTTTCCTTATTCAAACTCAGGTCTGCTCATTAAATTCCCAATCTTTGCTGGCCACAGAAGGCTGTTATAAATTAACGAGAGGACAAGCTTCTCCAGAATTAAGAAAGCACTAAGCTCCTTGCGCCACGAAAGAGAATGTCTTCTCACAAGCCATGCAATTCAAACACAATTTTCAGCATCTAACGCAGAAATAAAATGTCACCAACCAAAAAAGGATCAAGTGATGTCCTCCTAACCTGCAAAAGGAGAAGTTTCTACTGATAAGGCCGGGGCAATTGGATAGAAGCAAAACTAACTGCTGTGTATAATAATGACAAAATAAAATAGTTTTCCATAATGAGTACATTGGTTTTTTCCAAGAAGAAACAGAAAGAATGAAGGATTAAGTTTTGTGGTCAGTTTCGTTTCATTAACTATATATTTTGGTTACCAGAGGTGTAAATCTTCATGCATTTTCCATGTTTCTAATGAAAACATTACAGTGAAAGACCAGCAGAAGTCATTGGTTTCTGGGTGGCACATCCATTAGATAGCATTGCAAGAAAAGAAAATTTTCAGCTTCTCGGCATTACACCATGGTTGTTCCCAATTCACCCAAGAAATTCTAAACTTGTAGACATTATGAATCAAAGCTTAAGCTTTTTCACCCATTCAGCAGTCTGCACCACACCAAGCAGACTGACAACTTTAGTTCTTAAATTGGACAAACTATATTTAAGATGACCAATTACTCCATTTCCAATCCCCTGATCATCACTCTCTTATGAGGGCTAATCTCAATGACTTAAACAAACAATGCCGATCCCATCATTTTCGCTAATGCATAGGACTGACAAGAAAACTGATCAAACTCCAAAAAAGAAAACAGCAAAACATAAACTAATCAAATAAAACATCCCAATTGACCTCAGTTGATCTGTGTCAAAAAAAAAATCAAAAAGAAGGAAAAATTAAAACCTGATCATCCAGGTAGCAAAAAAAGAAGCAAATCAATCACGAATAAGCTCAACAATACTTAAACAACCACAAATACGATACGAGCAACCAAATTGTCGTAAAGGGCAAGAAAGAAATGAAATGAACCGTCATAAAAAGAAAGAGCAACGGGCGGCGATTACCGACCTGATTTATCTAACTCAGGAAACTGTAACAGTCAGTCACTGTGTGACTGTGTGAGAGAGAAAACCATCCAATGAATGAACGACGCCAGGGATGGATTTGAATGAAAAAACTATTGTGGAGAATGGTATAAAAATGGGAATGGGAATGGGAATGGAAAGGGAATCATCAATTGGATGAAATGAAATGAATGAATGGACGGACGTCACGAGGGGGTTAGTGCGTGGAATATTTACAGTTAAGTGAGTCAGTCAGTGGGACTACAATGCTAATACGACAACTCAGAAAAATGGAATCAAACTCTGATTTCCACTTTAGACTTTATACCTTTGTCATCAAGCCATCACAGAATATTATTATTATTATTATTATAATTATTATTGTATCGCTTTTTTTTTCTTTCATTTTTTAATTTGTTCGGAGACGACATCGGCGACGTTGACTGACGGCGTGATGGCCGTATCTCGCCGTCTGTGATGTTTTGTGGCTACTCTACTACTCTTAATGTAGCTGTCTAATTTTGGTTTTTTTAGGTTCCTTTTACTAACTTTTTTTGTCAACATAGGAGTATTATAAAAAGCAAATTTGGACAAAGTTTTGCAAGTATATTTTTAAGAAAAAAAACTAACATTTTATTATTTTAATTAATACTAATTAATTAGATATAATTATTATATTCTAATGAATAGTAAAGTTTTGATAGTACTCTTTTGCAGTAACTCCTTAGTATAACTTATTAAGAGAAGAAGGTGAATTGACATGTGATTTTTTTTAATTAATGTTGATTAATTTTTTGCTGTTATTATTTTAATAAGTGCTATTATTAATGAAAGAAGAAAAGAGGTAGGAGAAAATGAAATGTCTCCTGATTATTAACCATCATCGTCATATACATAAAAAGAGAGAGTTTCGAAAAAATTTTATTATACTACCACATGTATACGAGTCTCTTCTTTTTCTTCTTTTAACTTTTTTCGTTTCTCTAATTTACCATTTTCAATATTTGTTATTCTTTATTTTTCTTTTAATTCTCTAATGAGGGCTTTATTACTTCAATATTCATTATGAGATTCATTCAATTCTTACAGTTTCAAGTTGTGTTTCATCTTTTTTTCATTAATTTATTTTCATTAGTTTTGTTTTCTACGATTTCCTATACTTTAAATAGAACTCTTTTGATTAAGAATATTTTTATCTTTGATGTTAATCATGCTGAAACGCTGAGTTTCTCTTATGCTTGAATTTTTTACATAATGTCAATTTTCTCATTGGCGTCCAATTTCCAAGAAGAGGTATAACACAATTTACTCTCCTACTTTCATAGTGTATATAATTCCATTTTTCTTTTTAAACTAAAACAAAAAGAATCAAGAGAATCGAAAAATAGTTTGAATGCTTTCAAAATATTAATATCTCTCTTATATTCTTCGTATTATGCATATTATGTTTTCAAATGTCGATTAATTCATTTTTTTTTCTCCCTCTTTTGAGTGTGTATTTACATGTGAGTTGTTTGTTTAAATGTTTGAATATTTACGTATATTTGTCATGTTACTTACACACTCACAGTTGCGGGATATTTTGATACGTTCATTGATGTTACTATCACAATGAGAATAATATATATGACTAGATTAATATGTTTATTTAGAAAATACTGACAAATTTTACAATTACGAGTTTAAAGCAAACTTGGGAATTGAAATCCAAGTACATATTAAAAGATAAGTATTTTTCCCTTTCCAGTGTTGATTTGGTTTATTATTTGGTGAAATAAAAAAGTTTTGCTTTATTTAAGTATAATTTTTTACTATTAAAATTTATAGATGTATCTGAAATGTATTTCAACTTCAGTCTTAAAATTTATTTGTTAGCTGCATATTTGTATTTTCATTTAAATATAAAATAATATATAAATCATATTACTATGTTACACGTGACATTGAATTTATTCAATAGAATTAATAATTTAGCATCATTTAATTTTTACATTCCCTTTTTTTCCTCGATTTATTATATTATATTATTTTTATAGATTTTTAAAATTATGACACGTGCGAAGCGTGGTCAGTTCAACTAGTAGGTTATAAAGTTGATGCTTTGTGACTGATACGATTTAAAGCATGAACCCAATCAAAGAGCAATCGCAGTGGACAGTAATTGGTTTTTGGAGCGCATACCAATTAGCTCATTTATTATCTTCCCATGATGTGCCGTGTAAAATATTACACCAGTCGGCTCAGTTGTTACTCCTGGAAAGTCTGAAAAGGAAGCAAAGATATGGGGTCCTGAGACATTTTTTTAGGCAAATCGAATGGCCTAATGGGAATTAGTTAGATATTTCTAAAAAAAAAAAATAGCAATTGGTTAGATAATATATAGGTAGAAATCTCCAAAAGTGCAAGGTTTTTTTTTTTTTTTCATTCATCTTTTGTAGATTCTGTCTATAAATATACCTAGGTCATTCTCAATTTTTCATATCTTTTAAAATTGATCTCCATTATTTTTTTTATCTCATGGAAGAAAATAATAATTTTAGAAATTCCTCCACTCCACCAAATTATCAAAATTTTCCAATTTCGGCGAATGTCCAAACGTCCCCCAATTTCTAATTTCCTCATAATTTCCAAAATCCAGCCATTTTTCTAAATCAGCCACCAAATAATCACTACCCAATGTCCAATTACCACAAAATTTTCAACATCCACACCTAAATTTTCAAATGTCATCCAATATGCAAATGCCATTAAATTTTCAAAATCCGCCACAATTTTTCCAAAATGGACAAAATTTTCAAAATCAACCACATTTTTCATGCCAATATCCTATCAATCTATCCCCCAATTATTTGAGTCCAATTACCGTAAGTCACTAAATGTCTAGATATAATAGTTGTGATACAAATGAAGAAATTGCAACTCCAGGAAGTTCTGTTTCAGGCAGTCAAGCACCATCATTTTCAAAATAACTTGGAGGCAAAAATACTGATGTTGTCAATGAAATAGTCGAAGATTCAAATAATAGACGTGAAAAATAGAGTATGGAAGATCAAGTTATGCTTGCGAAAGCTTGGCCGACCTATACAAAAGTGGGCAACTCCCAGAAAGAGAATCAATTTTAGAAACGAGTCACTGATTACTACAATGAGAATCAAAAATGTGGACCTAATAGAGTCCAAGAAAGAGTCAAAGCACAATGGCATTCGATAAGTAAACGGGTTAATATATTTAACCAACACTATAACAAGATCATTGGAAACCATCCTAGCGGGTGGAATGACGAGCAAGACAAACAGCATGCTCGTTCATTTTGGACACATTTTGGACCTAATTCTGTCCAAAATTAACAAATATTTGTCTTTAAAATTTAATTACTATGCTTTTTATTCATGATTTTTTTATTGACCGTAACTTTAAGAATTTTTTAGTGTCTCGTTCATTGTGATAATGCACATACCTTTCATGTAATGATAATATGAAATAAATAAATATTTATTTTGCTATATATGTCTTAATCATTTTTTTTGTCATAATTAGGACAAACTTTAAATTTAATCATCCTTAAAATTGAAAGACAAAAAAAAAAAATACTGATCACAAAATGGAATGAAGAGGTGCTGTTCGAAACTCATAAAGAACAAAAAAAGAAAGCGGCGACAATACTCCTGCAATGCGGGCCAGTGTGGTTCCAAATGTTTTACTCCCATTTTTAGTAAATGCCATTGCGAAAGAATACATTGTTACTTCCCAGTACCGTCTCAACCTAAAATAGGGACTAAAGCAAATTTGTAAAATGAGGCCTTTTTAAAATTCGCTTCAATTATTTTCTTTTTTTTTATGTTTATTATTAATGCAATCATATTGGAACCAT